GATGAGCTGGACAGAAATCTACATAACGCATATGGAAGACATACAAATTGATGAGCACCCTCCATGAAGTATGATCTCCAGAAAAGATTCTACAATAAAAAACAAACCAAACAACCCCCATTCATCTCAGTAATTTTCAAAGCATAAGAATTGAAGAACACTTAAGCATAGTGCAAATATGAAGTGTGGTTTTTGAAGTTTGGGGGTTTTTTACCTTTTTTAATATGATCACTGAGCTATGAAGACACACATCAAAGAAGTTGTAAGATGTGAAGAATCTTAAGAGCAGCATACAAAGTTATATACACATAAGGAAGTGTAAAATCTCAGTACCTGAGCCAGGAGTCTGGATGTGCTCTGATCATAGTTACAAGGCTGGTCCTAGAGTTCTGGTTTGCACAAGTGAAGTGTGTTTTTTGTATCTTGGGAATGAGAAAGAACAGAGAAATTCCAGCTATGTCTATAATGTGTTGAAAATTACAGGTAATGCAAACATCTGCCAATATTCCATCAAAATACCTGAAAAATATCCACCAAAAGAATGAACAAGATTTTAAATTGCAGTTTCACTCTCTGCTTATTCTGTTAGATAACTTAATAAATATCCCAGCAGCATTATAGGGCACGGGGCGGGGGGGGAGGAAGGTGTCTGGCAGATGTGTTGAACATGAGTCAGCAGTGCACCCTTCCGGTGACAAAGCCTAGCCAGGCTGCATGGGCAAGAGCACAGCCAGCTGCTCGAGGGGAGGGATTATCCCCCCCTCTGGTACTTGTGAGGCCACATCTGCAATCCTCTGTCCAGTTTTGGGTTCCCCCATACAAGACATCAATATACCTGAGTGAGTTCAAAGGACTGGAGTGCAGGAGGTTGTAAGAAAAGGCTGAGGGAACTCTTTTCCCAGAGAAGAAACAGGTAAGGACAAGTTCAAATGCAGCCTACAACTACACAGAGACAGAGCTGGACTCAGAGACTCACAGCAAAAGAACAAGAGCCTGTGGTCACAGCACAAAAGGAAATTCTAATGCAATACAGCGAAAATATTTGCATGGTAAGACGAGTTAAATAGTGGGTCAGATTACTCATAAAGGCTGTGGTATCTACATCCATGGAGATATTATAAACTGGACTGGATGATCTGATCTGACTTTGATGTTAGCTCGTCATTGAGCGAGGGTTGGGTTAGACAACCTTCTAACCTCAGTTGCTCTATGATTCTACGTTTACTGTTATGGAGGAGGATGGGGGTAAAAAAGGAAATCTGAAGGTGGTGGTAGATGCAAAAGGAATTTTATAATAAACAATTAAAATTGTTTCTTGCCAATATTATCGGCAGAAAGAATACTGAAGAATTATAATTTAACCATATAAAGTACTTATTTTTTAGAAAAGCAAGGATTTCTTTTGCATAACATTTCCTCTGGAAAATTACCCTCACCTTTAATGCTGTTTGGTTATGTGTTATAACTGTCAGTACTTCCATGACAATAAAATGCTTCAAGTTATGTCCTTCAGAAAGATTTCTAATGAAAGGTTAGAAAGACTTAATTTTGAAATATGCAAAAGCATTATGGTTCAAATACGCTAAGTATTCCTGAATGTATTTGTAGTGCATAGGGGCTTTTTCTGTCTTGTGAAGGAAACAAATCTTTTATTATTGACACAGAACTATCCATGATGATCTGTTTTAGAAAAGTATCATAAATACTATCACTAAAATGAGAGCATGTGGTGAAACAAACACAACTAAGTTTAAAACCAAATGCTCAAGTCAGGAAACATTTCCTAAGTAATGTTTAGTTTGAGATCCCTCAAATGTCAACAGATAGAAGATGAATAAACAGCCAGTCTGTTTTCAGCATCCTCCAAGGGATGGTGATGCACAGTGGGTTGGCACAGATGCCCCAGACAATTCTCATCTTCTTTCAGTAGACCATCACACATCTGAGTATGTTTTAAGTCTGTGGCAGAATTGGGGACCAAAGCCAAGGAGCAGTTCAAGGGAAGGCAGATCAGATAGCTTCAGAAAACACTCCAGGTTTGTTGGCTTCACATGACTGCTAATTTTCATAGTCTGTATCAAGCAACATATTTCCTCAGCTGGTGCAGGCCAACTTTAACCAACGTGGAGCAGAGCAGAGCCAGCTGGGCCAGCAGAGGCGGCAGTCTAAATGCCACACCGTCCACAGCAGATGTTCGCATGGGGACTCAGTACTTCAAAAGCTTTATGTCCTGCATTAATCACTGCATACTCCAAATGTGGGCATCTCTCATCTTTAGAAACCTGGAACTTTTTCTTTTTTAAAGACATGGCCCTTCATCTGAGATTCACATTGACATGGTATTTATTAGCCATAGAGAATACAGTAAGCTTATCTAATCAGAGTCATTCCAGTAAAGTCTTTAGCAGTATAGAGCATTATAGATGACTTCATTTCTGTGCCTTCAGTTTAGTTCACATTTAGGACAGTTAAGCATCATAACAACCACTTGGCGCAGAACTCACTGAACTGTTTGCCACCTTTGTGTCAGCCATGCTTGGTAGACTACAAAGCAGCAGCTACTACACACACACACACTTCGCAGTAAAAGTCATCTAAAACACAGTACCAGCATAATGCCACAGGGCAGGCAAATATCTGCTAGAGCCACATGGTAAGGACTTACATTAAATGGCTTTGTTAGAGTGCCAGAGAACTACATCCACAAGCAGGAGTGGGACCAAGAAACTTTTTTTGCATATGCAGCCATCTCAATGTACAAGAAAAAACAGAAGACTTTAAACACTGATCAGCTTCACAATTTAGCCAACACCCATGTGTTTCAGCTAAAATCCTGACACTGACTTGGAAGACAGATTTTACATTTGCAGTCCTTCTCCCTCAGACTTCATCTCCTCTGCCTTCAAGACAGCACTGTGAATTTCACCTTCAACTCCCAGGAATTCATTCCTAAACTAATAGTTAAGAGAGTGTTATAGGCAAGTCTCATTACTGTGATGTTCCAAACCCAGTGGAAGATATTGCACCTTGCAAAATCCAAGTTAAAAATTAAGGCAATTTTAGTTACATGAACAAACAATTCCTTCAGTCAATTCAAGCTACTGAAGACAGCTTTGTTAGATTGTCTTATCACACAAAAGAACAATTTTGATTTCCCAAGTGGAAATCTTAGAAGCCAATTTTCTGCAAGAAAATGTTTTATTAGCAAACTGTGATAACCCCTAAAAATCAAAGACAATTATATAATAATGGCAATATTAGCAGAGGATGAAAATAGTATTAACTCACTGAGACGATAAAAATACAATCTATTTAATTTTCTAGAGGCTCCTACATAAAAGCAAAAAATAGATCCATATCAGTAACATCCTACATCTGCTACCGAGTGTGGAGTTGATTCTGTAAGGATTTCTGCCAGTGTTTCATCACTCAGCACTGGCTGGGATCTTCACATGCTCTTATACCGCCATAGAAAGTTGAGTGAAATAAGTATGAAATAAAATTCCTAAATATATATAAAGGACGCTTTATAAAGATGGGTAAATCTGTACAGTAATTTAAAAGCACATTAAATAACTGCCTCTCTAACTTGATCATTGCAATTACATTTAAAATAGCAGCACTGACTGTAATGATCTTCCCATATAAATCAAGATGCCAAAGCCATTGTTATGGAATCTCTGCCATAATTCAGCACTTACTGCCCTCCCCTCGTATGACATAAATTTTAAAGGAAGGCCATTTAAAATAACAGGAGAGACAGATATCTTATCCCAGTGGAAAAGGTCTTTCCTAAAGGTACAAAGTTTCAAAAGTTCAATGCTGATTCCTCCATTGTAACTAATCATCCCATCCTTCCTGTTTCCTTTTCCCCCCTTCAAGTTATGTAACAACATATCCGGATCACTTCATTTTTAGATGGATTCAGAGAGCCCTGTACTATCCAAAAGCCACTTAGAAGTAATATCAATATTTAATGAGTAAGAAACCCTAAAGTGCACAAAATATCAGGAAGTTACAATTAATACTGAAATGTCTTCTGTGCTGTAAACCCAGTAAATGACTTCCCACGCTTGAACACCCTCTTCAGCTCTTCCTTTTACACCACGGTGGGAGCTCCTCTCAGACTTTCAGGCCGAGCAGCAGTCCATGCCAGAGAGCTCAGTCCTGCGCGGTGCTAAGCCCCTGTTTCAGAGACAGCAGCCATCACTTTACAAAATCAATGCTGCAGTGCCAGCCAGGATTTTTAAAAAATTGTTACAATGTTAAGGAACATGAGCTGGGTAAATGAGTCACTTCTGCCATTCCATTCTCACAACAGATTACATAAAGAGATGGTTTCCAACAAAACAATTTGTCATTTATCTCCGGAGTTCAGACAACCCCATTGTAGATTTTCATGAACTATAGTAGGAAATTAGAAGTACCTGGTTAGGAAAAGTCTAATTTAATAAGTATAGTGAACACAAGACCTGGTTCAAGTTTGCAAAACTACTTAATTTATGGACTGCAGTAGGTTATCTACATATTAAGTCCAGCTTAATATGACTGTCCTATTACTACTATTGTCCTTAAATACATTCAAGTCTATTGCTTGCTATTTGGTATAAGCACTGCAGAGTATCTGTTTATAATTTTACATCTTATCCCTAAAATCATTTTACGAACCTTCTATTTTGAGATTGGTTTTATAGACCTATGTCATATTTTCTAGTAAAATTTCTAAACTGACCACCATGCAGCGTTCTGAAGAGTAAAATGTCATTAGGACTGCTTTTACAATGGACAGAAAGTGGAGTTTCAGCCCTGAACTCAAAAATATTTCAGAATACTTGATGAGTGATCAACGAGGACACTGCTCCATATATTTTTTTCTTTTTTAAAGTACAAAGACACAATTAGAAACATCCTTTTTGAACTGCTTGTAGTGATTATTCACAATAGAGACCAACACAGTGAAGTATATTAGACTAGCGAAAGCTTTTAATAAATTTTCCTACCTTATCTGCCATTATCATGGAGGCCCCACCATGAATTCCAAGAATTGGAATGGAAGTCTGAGATGAAATAAAATCCAAAATCTGAGCTACTGCCTCCTGATCAGTATCATCTCCAAAAACCACTCCATGGATCTTGGTGCCTGACATCAAGTCACAAACATGTGTTATGATGCTCTTAGGGTCAGTCTGGTTCACCAGAACGGTCACTACATTGACATCAACAGTCAGGTCTGCTGACATTTCCCTGGTCCAGAGAGTTCTGATATCTCTCTCTGTGATATACTTGGTCCTTCCCAGAATCACTGCAATGTTCAGGATGGGATAACTTTTCTCTGCTCCACAAACAAGATCCAAAGGTGCCAGAAGAGCTTGGAGTACCAGGAGCGCACAGCCAATTTTCCTCATCTTTGCCAGCTTTATCCCCTGTAAAAGCGATCACATTGTATGAGAAAAACAGAGAGGAAAAACATATATACTCTATATATCCAATGAAGGTTTTAAACAGAACGCTTCTGAACACAATGCAAACTTTAGTGGCTCTTTATAACGCATTCTTCACCTTAGTTTCAATTCAAGCCTCTTATATCTCCTCAAAAAGTTGTCTTGCCAATGACAGTATTACAACTGGTCTCCCACAAGCAAGACAAAATATGTAGCACAAGTTCAGAGGAAAGGCCCATTAAAATTCTTCTTGGATGGCCAATAAAATTAAAATAACTGACATCATTAAAAAAAGACTTTATCATCCTTTGCTTTAACCTTGCTGTCCTAAAACAGGTAAAACACAGAAATCTGTTTTCCTTTGTCCTGAACGTCTATTTAAAATTTAGTCACAGTCTAACATGAAGAGGCACTTTAGCTCAAAATGAGAGAATTTAGATGAAAATTGAGTCCGCTGGAAATCCCAGTCCATATATACCATATATCTCACAGCATCCCAGAGCCATGCTGTTATATATCTGAAGATCTCTCCTAGACAGCTGCTGCTCAAGCACAGTCTACTGTATTTCTGGAACTGATTCAGAAGCACAATATTCTGTCTTAATTCTTCTCCCTCCTCTTACGCAGCATTCGCTTGAGCATCTCAGAACTGCTGATCTCAGATACAAAGTTGTCACTGGTGCTGAAGGGGAGGGTGTTCCATAAATGAGCATCACTGCATTGGTTTACTTCATGTCTTCACTGAATCTCTGTAGGGGGCTGAATATAGACAGAGTAGGACGGAGAGAGAGATGAGCCACAGAAGTGATCTGAACTATCTGAAGGAGGGAGAAGCGGGAGAGCAGGTCTGATTCTGCAAGATCTCTCTCTGGTTTTGTGCCCCGGGGGATTTCCACCCCCATAACTGGCTCTCTGTTAGCTGCAAGAAGGGAGTCCCTGTGCCACATAAAGCCAAGCTTGTTGCAAAGCGTCACGGAGAAAACACTAGCAGGGCTATCCAATCAGGGGTGGCATTTTTCAGATCTCTCCTCTCCTCCTGCCAGCCCTATCTCCATCCATCACAATCATCTGCTGCTGAAGCACACACCAAGACAAGGGCTTGCTGTATCATCACCTCCTTTCGGGGCAGACAAGGAGACGAGCACTTGGGAGCCCATTTAACCGCAAATCCGTGCCACCGTGCTTCCTGAGCGGTTGAGCTGCGGGCCAGACTCCCGCCGCTGCAGCAGCGGAGGAAGCGGCAGAAACAAACACACCTAAAGACCTGCGGCCGCGGGGCCGCTTCAGCTTCCTGCAGACCCCAGGAATGTGTAACTGTCACACTGCACAGCACAGACACCCCCCCACACACATCCCCCCCACACACATCCCCCCCGCGCCGCGCCGCGCCGCACCGCGCAGCGCCCCCGGCTCCCCCAGCCCAGGCGGCGCGGCGGCGCCCCCTGGCGGCCGCGGGGCGCCGTCCCACCTACCCAGCGCCTCAGGAGACGGAGCGGCGGGTGCCGGTGCTGGCGGTGGCGGTGCAGGGCATGTCGCGACCGCGGGCATGTCGCGCCCCTCGGTGCCCGGGCTCAGGGGCGGCCTCCGCGCCGCTGGCCGGACGCGTGATCCCCGCCGCAGCCTGCGAGCGACATCGCGTCCCGGGAGGGCAGCTACGCGGACACGGAGACAGGCAAAGGGGGGCTGGACACAGAGGAGTGGGGGGGGGAGGAACAACGAGACGGGAAGAAGAGGAGACGATGAAAAGCCGTTAGTCAGGTTGCAGATTTGCCGGGGAAGGGGAAATAAATAAATTTATATTTCAATCTCGTGTGGCATGTGAGCCGAAATAAAGTGACTAGATCCAAAAGTTCCTCCTCCCCCCCCCTCCCCGCCGCTTCACTTAGAAATAAATTTAAGCTCTTTCCCAACAGCAGCGCCTGTGAGCCTGCGGCCGTCCGGTAAACGTCCCGCACCCTATCCGGGCCAGGAAAATCCTGGGCTCCCAAGAGAAACGCACGGGTTTGAGCTCTAAAGGAAGAGACATCCAGCCTGGAGAGAGCAGCTAGAAGCAAACTGATTGACACGATCAAGCACTGGAGTTCTCTTGACAGGTTCAAAACAAGCATAGTCTGGAAAACAGCTAAATCAGTGTGGGATAAAGCTCCTTTTGATCTTGTAACGGAACTGATTCATTCTCAATTTATCATAAACCCAGGGAGACACACTCTAGCAGATCCCTCCACGAAAAACTCGGATTGCTTTGATTTTTCATTCACTATTTCTAGTAAATATGCATAAAGATACTTCTTCAAGCAACCCTAGTTAAATGTAGGACGCTAAGGCGCCAGGCAGAGGCAGCCGGCATTTCCCAACCGGTCCTCGGTGCTGGCCAGAAACTAAGAGCCAAGCACTGAGCCGGGCAGAGAACCGGGGGAAGAGCCGGGATTACCGGGAGAGCCGGGCGGAGAGCCGGGATTACCGGGAGAGCCGCGCTTTTTGCGCGGCAGCCGGTGCCCCCGAGCCCCTTCCCAATTGCCGGGCGCGTACCGGTGCCCCCCCGAAAGACAATACTTACTGCATTCTCCCGCCACATAGTTCCAATTTAAAGATCCTCAAAGTCATTTCAGTAGATTCCTTTGCTAACAACGAAGTGGAAAATAGGTCCCTTAATGCCTGGATATCATCCTGCAACTTGTTTCCACCGCAGTAAATAGAAGCCCGGCAGCTCTTTATCGCTTGAAATCCCGCATGATCAAGTTTTAGCAGAGCCATTGCAACTGAGATTTGCTCTTTACTTTTGGCAGGAGGTATTTAAGCGCCTTCATATTTTTTTTTTTCCTTTTTTTTTTTTTTTTTTTTTCCTTGCTATTTAAAGGGCAATTGCAATATTGCTGCAGCACTTCCCCAGGACGGCAGGTTCGGAGCCCCCGCGCTCCTCCTCTCAGCTTCTTGAAAGCGGCGGGGACTGGCACCGCCGGCTCCTGAAGGGGCGGCGGGATCCACCCGGCGGGATCCACCCGCGCGCCGCTGCGGGATGCGCACCGGCCCGCTCCGCTCCGCGCCGCTCCGCGCCCCCGGCCCCGCCGCCCTTGCAGGGGCGAAGCTCACGGGCGCCTTGTCAAACCGAGACGAATCGCGGCTACTTTGAAGGCTCCCCCTCCTTCCCCCCCCCCCTTCTGCTTCCACAAGCACCAGCGAATGAGTCAGACCCAGGCAACCGAGGGAGGGGGTGTTAGATCTGGAGGAACGGTGAAAACACCAGGTTAGGGGCAGCAGAATGGCAAACTTGAGCACTCTCCCCACTTCAACAGCCCCAGCGAAAGGTTGGTAGCCCAGGAAACCCTAGAGTGTTCTCCTTTCCCTTGATGCAGGGGCTGTCAACCAGAAATTCCTGCCGTGGGGCTCAGGGGAATAAATGTAGAACAGCAACTTCCACAGTAAAAGCAGCCCTAAAAGCTCCAGATCACAGCCAAATATCACAAAAATGCTCTGTAGAATTTGGCTCCATCTGGGCATCCCCACTGCTCCATCCCCACCTTGACATGCCGCCTGTCAAAGCACTGTGCCCGTTCCTCCGGGCCCCGCTGCCGCCAGCACAGCCCTGGTGTCAGGCCCACCTTGCTGCTGAGCAGCTCTTTGCTCCTTGCCCAGATCCACGGCCCCACCACCTTCCCTCACCCCACCTCCTCCCTTGCTCCACTGCTCTTCTGCTTTCCCCTTTCCACCGTCCTGCTCCAGGTGCCACAATTTAGCTATTCATTTGTGCAAAAAATAAATAATACCACAGAGGTGATGTGTTTTGTGCTCCATCCTTTACAATCATACATATTTTTACACTGAATACCTCAGTTAGGACAATTCCCATGTTTTGACAGACCCACTCAACAAGGCAGCTAAGGCACTGGAAACCTTTGGGCTCTAATAGGATAATACCACATGTCCACTCACTGAAGTTTCCTTTTCACCACATTAAGACACAGAATACCGAGAACTTCATCCCAAAGACATTTATCAATGCATCAGCTTAACTGCTCTTGACAGTCTCTTCAGAAAACTCCCCAAACACCTTTTTTTTCCTTTTTCCTCTGAAAGATCTCATCTCCCAACTTATTTAGAGATTACTTCCTTAGACATTGTATTACTTTCCCTAAGCAAAGAAATTAAGCATCTACAATTGTGCCATTTTTAAAAAGGAGTTTAACGTTTTAATGCATCTTTGTATTTCACCCTTGATGCAATGCTTTTCTCCTGTAAATACTTCAGTTATGTTTGTCGTGGCTACTGGAGATGAGGTTGCACCTCCATCCTTGTGTAAGGGTTATTTCAGTGTTATCATTCAGTAGATTTATTGAAACAGCTGCAAAACCAGATATTCAAGATCCACAAATGCAAGTGAAATTCACAACAGCAAAAAAAAAAAAAAAAAAAAAAGTGGCTCTAACATTAGTATATATTTAAATTATTAAAAGTGAAATGGTGTCTTTGGAAAATGCTTGGTATACAATATGCTGTGTACATTAACTGAATGTAATCATTTGAAAGACCAAGAAATAGCCAACTTTTCCAACTTCAGAGCTATTTGATTTTCATTGATCTAAATTTAGATATATTTTAAACAAATTTAGCATTATTTCAAATATTTTTCCTCAATTATTCTTATAAAAGTTTGTGAAATATCACATTAAAAGTTAGTCCAAGCTGATTTACAAATCAGAATTTAAATAAAACATTAAAAGTTTGCCCAAACACATTGGGACCAATCTTGACAGTACATATGCAGTCTTCCCAAAAGCCTCACTGAATTCAAGCAGATTACTGCCTACAGAGTTGAATAAATGCTGCAAAATTAGACTGCTATTTTAATAGACATCCGTAGTCCTTTTCTAGGTATATCTGCACAGTTTAATTTAAGATTAAAGAGAAGAGCTGCAAACATGGTAAGAAATCAACTTCCCTCAGCAGAAACAAGAAGACAAAATTTGCATTTAAGTGTCTAATTTACCCTTGTAATTTGTGTGTAAAAAGGGAACACTTCAAAAGCAGTGTAACAAACACTAACATTCGCACACTTGGGAGATTAATTTACAAATTTAGTATTTTCATGGAGAACATTTATTCTGAACGGCAGATGAATTGATATGTAAGTGATTGCCTTCTCCACACAAACAGCTGCACACTTATCTAAAAGAAGTTACAACATAACTTCAAGAAGTTTAGAATCCTACACTTCCGAGGATATTTTCCAGCTGGGATTTCCCTACCTGCTGCCTGCCACATAAACCTATATTTAAAGGTCAGAAACTTTCTTCTTACTCAGTCCCTTCCAAAGCAACATTAAATTCCAAAAAGGTTTCCCTTTTCTGAAAATTACCTGTTGCAAAGTACACCTGTCAACAGAAACAAGCAGCCAAATTATCAGGTACAAGAAATGTTTCCAAAGGAGGCAAGAGAGGCAGCAGGGTCTAACAGTCTGGCACAAGGCCGATTTCTGTCTCTGTTGCTGACTCATTAGTGACACTGTGTCTATTACTTTCTCTCCATTTGCTTTATTTTACCAGCTGTAAAATGCTTATCTCAGACACAACAGACAGCTAAAGTCAAAGCCAGATTTAACCCCCAGATTGAGGAAAACAACTCCATTTTCCTCTTGCTCTTCAAAACAACAGTGTTAAGTAAAGTAAGTATGATCACACTTTTTAAAAAGAATTTGTTCTCATGCAATGACACCGTTAGCCAAGAAAAATGCTTCAATACATTAGGTATGAAGTTATTGCCATTCTGTTTTCATTAGAGGTAGTCTTTGTTGCAAAAGTTTAAAACACGGTTCAAGAGATGTCTAAAACAAACTGCAGATCTACTCAGTAACCCTAGCTACATTGGAAACACCATTACACAATACTTCATACGTTTTATGATACAGATGGTAAGAGATTACAGGTAACTGGCTAGATTAAGGGAGAAAGGCTTACTTAAAATTAATTCCAACTTTAAAAATGTTTCTAGTTCCAGCAATAAACTCCTCTTCACTTAGGGAATATTGCTGTAACCAGTAACAATATACTTACATGCATCTTGTTTCATCTACCCTGAGAAAATTTCAGCAAGAATCGAAAGCAACGTTGATGCAAAATTATTTTTCAGTACCACATAGGAGCAAGTCTGAAATGCAAGCACTTGACTCAACAAAAACTTAATGCATAGCAAACAAGGATACAGTAACATAAATTTACTCTTGGGGGCCAGCAAAGTTACATACCTGCTAAATGAACTCAAAGTAAAAATGGGAAAGAACTCAATTGTTTTCAAACTAAAACATTTGGTCACAGATGGCCCTGTTATTGAAAACTGGCTTAGCTCCTCACTTGGCAGTGTCCTTTCTTGCACAATTTACCAAGTCATGCATGAAATGATGGCCTTAAGCTACTCAGTTTTGCAAAGGACATGAGCTGGCTGTCTCAGAAAAAAAAGGAGGCAACCTCACTGAATGGAGCTTGAGGCTATTACAGCACTTCAACTCCTCTGCAAACAACCCCCAGCAGGGAAGAAACACCCCAGGGACATTTCAGAGTTCCTCCTTCCCACCTCACCTCTGATTATCAGATTTATTCAAGATTGAGCAGGACTGTCTTTGCCTCTTTCGTATTCAAGTTCCCATAGCAAATTAATCTTTTCCTTTATTTACAAACTCTGCTATGTAGTTCCCAAGAGGAATTCTCTTTCTCTGGGAAATCATCAAACTAGTCAAATTAACTCTGAGGGTCAACCCAGAATTTCATAATGAACTCTGTACATCTTAATTAAAGCTGCACTATTAACAAAGAAACCTGTGTCACAGCAAGGCAGCCCTGTGAAGAGTGTGTCAGTAACAGTCCCATTACACATCCAACTGCCTGCATAAGGTCTGGGCTTCAGGGTCTGGAATCAGGTGTAAATACCTACTTTAAGACTGCTTCTCCCCATCCCTGCTCTCCCCCCTATCAGAAATTGTGAAATATCAGTGTATATTTTCAACAAAATCTTCTGGGAACACCCAAGAAAACACCTGGCCACTGCATAGCCTGTATAGTTTGTTCATTAATACCTAGAACAGTAGAGGAACAGTCAAAAACTGCTGTTATTTATTTAGGGCCAAAATATGATCTCCTAATCCTCACCAAATTCAGTAAAAATCACAAGACTTCATGAATCAGAATTTTTAAAAACACTATTTTAAGTCTTTTCACTTACCCCCTGAACCACATAAAACTGTCTCTTCTATATCTGTTTCTGGACAGCGTGATGGGCCTCCTAGCCAAGTAGTTACTAGCTTCTTTTAGTCTATCTAAAGGATGCTCAGATTCTTAAGTATATAGTGACAGGAGTAGTTTTGCTCTTGCCTCACATGGAACATTCTCTGTGTCTCCACATTTGAGATGGTTTACATTTATACAGATTTTATAACTAAAAAAGCCCCAATGTATATAGCTGATGTATATTTTAAAACAAATTTTTGGTGTAACTTTTGAAGTCAGAGTTTACTATCATTCTGATCTTTTGAGGAAATAATACATAGTTCTAAAGCCTAGCCCCTTGAAAAAGTACACGTATTAGGTATTCAAGGGGCTGGACAGACTTGTTAGGTTGAAAATATTAATCAGAAAAATACCTTATGAATCTTGAAGACAGATGAGGTACTAGTCTTACCAATATTAGTATTCCTTGTAAAACAAGCCTTCATAGAATATCCTCAAGTTATTTCACTTAAAGTTTAATGCAACACAAAGAAAATTACTACTTATGACTGATAAGACAGCAGCAACCTCTCACACATTGTTCATTGGTGGTACTTGTTTGCTAAAAGAAAGCTGTACTGAGTGGGAAGCACCAAGATGCCTACACTGCATCTGCTTCTCAGTGCTTCACTAAGCAAATTTTTGCTTAGGGAGTTGAGACTTTTCTAAATTCAGAAAATCAAATTTAGTAAAGGTCAATGGAAGCTTCTTATCAACACAAAGTTACCTCAGCCCTAGCTGGAAGATATTTTTAAGATGAGTAGTATTTTGCTCCTAGCATCCAACCCATTTCTCGATTGTAGGCACTAGCTCTATTAAAACTAGGTGCTAAAGGCTTATGAGACATCTGAGCCAGCAGGAATAGATCCAAGTTAGAAAAATCCCCCTTGAACTTAAATTACAGTT